GCACTTTGGATTGTATTATATATATTCAACGGTGCAGCTTTATCAATCTATGTAGTTCTTCAGATTGTTCTTGTACTTAACACACTCGATGATCGTTGGCCACTTGGTGATATTTTGTTCGGTATCGCATTTTATGTTATTGGACAAGCTATTCTTTATATCTTCTCCGTTCGCATCTGTGATACGGCAAAACATTACATTGATGGTCTCTTCTTTGGAACAATTTGTACACTTTTGGCTGTGATGATGGTTTATAAATATTGGGATTCCATTACCAAAGAAGATCTCGAATTCTCTGTTGGTAGCAAACAAAATGTATGGGAAGTTAGAGAATTATTAGGAGAAGAAGAATACTCAAATCAAGGTGGTTATGGTGGATATCCTCAACAACAACAACAACAACAACAACAATATTACAATGATGGTTATTAATTTTTTTTGTTATTAATAATAAATAAATAAGTTTTATTATTATTTTTTAAAATAGAATTAATACTACAAAAATTAGGTGAATGATATTAAAAAATTAATTAATTAATTAAAAGAAAAAAACTTTTTATCATGATCCTTTCGTTGTAATTTTACATAATCTTAAAAGTTTTATCATTTATCTCTTCTTTTTTTTTCTTTCTTTCTTTCTTTTTTATTCTACTTTCTTCTTCTACTACTACTTCTTTACTTTTTACTTCCTCTATTTCTTAATATTTTATTATATTTTATTGCTTTATACTCTTTTTTTTTGAAACATATCGCTTCATACTTTGACATTTTAACATACATTTGTTCATATTTTGCTTCACAACACTTTGTTACATATCATTGTCACATATTGATACACACTTTGACATATAACATTGATAAACATTATATTTATTAAAATATTAATATTTATTATTATTTTAGATCGGGACATTTTTTAGAAGAGAGAGAGAGAGAGAGACAAATTTAGGATACTTTATAATACAATATAACTGGAATATATCGCTTCTTTTTTTTATTATTATTATTTTAATTACTCACATTATTCATTCATTTCGGATTCCCTTTTTTTTTTTATTAACAAAAATTGGTTACTGTCTCACGAATCAATAATTAAAATATCTAAATCTCAAATTCTGAAAATCAAAAAAATATAAAATTATTTTAATTCATTTATATATATATATATATTATATATATTATATTATATTATATTATATTATATTATATTATAT